TCAGGCTTTTTCTCGCGACGATTGGCGGCGTTCCAATCGAGAAATCTCGCTCGAAAAAGCTCGTGTGAATAACAACGATGTTTTCCGAGAAAGAAAAAAGTTTACATTTATATGTTCTAGATATTGGTCCCTAAAAAAGGGACGTTAATGAAACATACGCGTAATATAAAACAAGAAATATCTTTTAAGCGTAAAAACAGAGTAGCAGACACAAAGAGGGGAATTGTACGAACAAATTCATATTTTTATATCTTTTATTGAATTTTTTTTTTATTAATTGTTTTCCTCTGAACTTTGGATTTTTGCGCGAACACACACGCTTTAGAGATACAAATTATAAATCAAATTAAAAAAAAACGTTCTCTTTGTGAAGTCAGGAATAACGAGAAAAATAATATAAACGAGGATATAAATAAAAACTGGTCTGCGATTACTCGGAGCTGTCAACGTGTTAATTAAATTTATCTTACGTAAACTTATAAAAGCGATAGAAGTGCAGATTTCGAAAATATTTCGCGAATAGAAGTCTCCATCCGGTCCGGATGATTTAAGCAACTTTACGAGACAGTTTCTCGAAAAAGCGCTCGATAATCGGAAAATATTTATTCTCGTAATATTCGTATTTCTATCTTTTGTGCGAATGAATATGTAACATTCCATATGTAATATTAGTGACGTACCCTCCTCTTCTCTCTTTGACTATTTACCTGTTCCATACCAGCAAAATTTTCGCGGATGAATAACTCGACGGAAGATTAAGAATTCAGAATGGCCGGGAGCAGAATGATTCTGGGCAATTTCGTTACCTATAGGAATTTTAAGACAAAAAAGGGACTTGGACAAAAATATCACCTACGTTTTCACTGACAAAGTTAGTGCGGAATATAATTACCTGCGCAATTTCTCCGAAATAGGAATTCTAAAAAATTAATTAAATCAACGGAATTTTTTAAATTTAATATGTAAGTTGGTATGATACAAATATATAACATATATATATATATACATATATATATACATATATATATATATATATATACGTACGCGCGCGCTTCTATAAATAGTATGGTCTAAAATATAAATTTCTTTATGAACAAAATGTCAAAGTTTATAACGGAAGTGTCTACTATTGCAAACGAACGAATTCTTATCGATTGATGTCATTTGCGTCAAATATCGCTTCGACGGAAAATATCCACAAAAGATTTGACACTAATACGTGCACAAACATACAATTTTTAGAAAATAAAAGAATGTGATTGTCAATCGAGCGAATTTCGATAAATGAAACTTCGACCTGTTATTCTGACGATGCTGATTGTTTCATTGGTATTATTTTTACTGATCATTCTACCGTTAATCTCATTAAAGCTCCACAATTAATCAAATATGTGTAATAACAGTGCAAGGATAACAAATTAAAGATAACCGCGGTTCCCAGGCAGCTCATTGTAGGTCTGGATCATAATGTCTATAAAGAAATATTCATCTTTGCATCACGTGATACCTATTTTTTCTCAAATTTTTTGCGCTTATTTATGACGTTGCGGTGCAAAATGAGTGTTCTGACAGGCACTCCGCGTGTCGGCCGAGGAAAAAGATTAATTTCCTGCTGGTATTGCTTTGTCATAAGAGAAGAAAAAAGCGAATACGGATACGGCTCTCCCAGTGAGATTAGAGTAGAGGTGCGTTCGCGTAAAGTGTATTTTGCATCCAATTCTATCTTAAATAACAAACGACTGTATGTTTTCCTATTCATATTTCACAACGCGCATATATATGCGCTATCTTTGTCATCTTTTTTTATCACTTTTTATCACTTTTTTATCACTTTTTTTTTAACATTAACCGTTCAAATGAATGCTGAATGATGCTGAATATGGATTGCCTGTAGTTATTCTAAGTTATGCCGGAAGAAAGAAAGGGAGAGAGAGAGAGAGAGAGAGAGAGAGAGAGAGAGAGAGAGAGAGAGAGAGAGAGAGAAAGAGAGAGAGAGAGAGAGAGAGAGAGAGAGAGAGAGAGAGAGAGAGAGAGAGAGAGAGAGAAAGGGATAAATAACGTGGGCATTTAATCAAAAGTAGAAATGAAATTATCTTCTATTTTACGACGGTGTCTTTGGTGTAGAAACTTGAAGCGCGATTTTTGCGATCCAACTTGTTTAGCTCTCGGCAGAAATAACTCACGTACAAACAATGTAATCTGCAAAAGAATGTAGCACATGCTTCGCATATTAGCAGCAGTTGCGTGAAACTATGTTAAGCGTTAAGTGTGAAAGTTATAACAATGAGCGGGACTCGTTTTAAGATATTATACAGCTCGCACAGCGGCGAGATGTTTTATAGACCATATCTCTCGATGACAAGACAAACTGACTCGGCAACTTGCGGTTGAATCGTCACGTTCGTCTAACTTGCAGTAATCAGGACTGAAGGGAGCAGCAGTAGCGATAGTGCTGGTCATAACCCGAAACCGAATGTCGAGACGAGTCCATGAAAGAAAGAAAGTAAACGAAAAGAAGAAGAAAAAAGAAACAGATTATTCGGCGCGAATGTCCGCTACAGAATCGGTCGATGGACGTCGAATTCGAGTCGAAATTCGAGTTGCGAGAAATCAGGTTAAATTGAGCATCAAAGCGTGAAAACGTGTGCTAATGAACACGACACGTCGAGAATGTAATTAAAACTGCCAACTAAACGTAACATGCCTCTCTCTCTCTCTCTCTCTCTCTCTCTCTCTCTCTCTCTCTCTCATACACACATACACGCACACGCGCGTGCACACACACTCGTTACAACCCGCTCGAAAACAGCTCGGTGTACAATTGGCGCTAAGCAGATATCTTATAACAACAATTACGCGATATGCTGCACGTAAACACAACGTTGCCGGAATATGCGTCGACCCAATTGAGACTGAACTCTGCGGCTGGCCGATCCGTGCTAATTAATTACCGCGCTGCCAGCGAATTCATTCCAACAAACAGTGCTCCTAACAATATGTAGCGGCGAATGTTCAGCTACATTATCCTCGCCTCGCCTCACCTCACCGTCCGCGTCGCACGGTCGGCGCGAAACTGGTACAGTCGGTCATATTGAAACGTGTAAATTTCACCTGTTCTCTCTCTCTCTCTCTTTCTCTCTCTCTCTCTCTCTCTCTCTCTCTCTCTCTCTTTCTCGTCGAGTTTGCTCGCTCGTACATATATACATACGTACGGACGTTCATTCGCCGCTCGTATTTCGCACCTGTATATTTTCCGTCGAATTTGATAATTACTGTGGACAGAGCTGTGGACGCGCCGTATGACGCCGCGAGTAATCATCGTGCGCGACGCGACGCGCCGCGAAGCAAGGCACGGTGCGGCGTGACGGCGGCGAAATGCGATTCGGGTGCAGTGCCGCTGTTTATGCCAAAAGTTTGCCCCTGCGTGTGACTGGCCGCAATTAATCCTCCCGTCGAGAAGAGATAAGTTCATCGCGATTATCTGCTCTAATGTTACTCGCGTAATCCCGTATAACGCAAATTCACGAGAAGGGACGAGCGGCAACGAGACGGGAGAAACGCGCGGATTACACAGTAGGCCCTTGAGCACGTCGTACATCTTCACCAATGAATTTGGTCCTTTTATTTTCTGGACTGCCGAGCGCGCAAACGGCGTTTCGACGAGCAATCGACGATGTAACAACGATGTTAGTAACATTTCACACGCGAAATGTAATATTTTGCATGCGTATTTGGGAAAGTAATTTGTTTTTAATCCGTTTTGCTGCGAGAGGTGATGGACTGTCTGTCACAAGTCGATGCAGTTTGATTTAGCGTGTAAAAGTCATGTTCTCATTGCGTAGTAACATTTTATAACATTAGCCCAACTAGTAACGGGTATCATATTGTATTACAGCACGGCGATAACAACGATAATGATGATGATGAACATCGTTACAATTATTGCATGTAATAAATTCGCGCAATATAATAAGATGATTATCGACGTGTAAAACGATATTTCGCGGTTACCGTACATTCGCATCAGATAGAATCGCGTTTCGATAGAATTTTGTTCTTTCACTGGACAATGTAAAAAGAAAGGGAACGAGAGGGAGAGAGAGAGCGAGAACGAGAGAGGAGAGAGAGAGAGAGAGAGAGAGAGAGAGAGAGAGAGAGAGAGAGAGAGAGACAGACGACAACGAATAAAGCGCAACTAACGGTGGAAGAGATAATAATGGACGCTTTACTTTGGGAAACTTACATTTATACGTTAACTTTGCGAGAGGAGAAGTAAATTCGCGCGCGGACGAAAACGTTCGATAGAAATGCCCCGAAGATATCGCGGTTCAACTGTAGAATCGTTAATTATAACGATAATTAGCGGGCGCCTTTGCGATGGTAACTCTCGGCTCTCGGCCATTGATCCTTCCCTTCGGATTCGCTATCTCGAGCCAAGTTCGAAAAGTACAAATGGAATATGATTTCGCCCTAATTAGCTGCCGTTGGAATCGGAAACTTTGTTCTCCGCGCGGCGACTTCGACGCGACCCCATGTAACAAAACGCTTTTTCTACGTATCGACAAAATTAGCGTCCCGGAATAGAGACGATCGTAGTGAAAAGAATTGTCCTCAAAAAAAAAAGAAAGAAGAAAAAAAAAGGCAGCAGATAACTGGGAAGAAATTGGAAAGAGCGGGTTAACGTAATTACGCGATACTCTCGACATGGACGATCGCTGCGCTGATCGATGCTCCCTCGTCGAATTCTCGTCGACGGGGAGGAATCGGCCGCGCGAGGATATCGAAATGTTTGTCGCTCGACTCGACAAAATCCGACACGAAAGAAAAGAGAGGAGACAACAGAGAGACTTCGCGTCGACGAACAGCGCCGATGTCTCGATACATCGCGGAGGCTCGTTGCCGCGAAATGACGGTAGTCCGACAGATAGTGACATAACGACGTCGTGGAGACGCTTAATGAGCCCGCCTGACGACGGGGATTCCCCCTTCTGTGATTTCAGCCCTGCGAGGAATCGAGCGATTTTCGCGCGACACAATGCGCCGACTTCGACAATGTGCCGTACAGCGGACAACTGCTCAAATGGTATCCGCATTACGACCCGGCTAGGCCGTGTTCTTTGATCTGCCGCGGCGTGCAAACCCCCGAGAACGGCATTAGGCGGCTGCGGCAGGAAGCGTCGGACGAGAAGGCGATGTCGCGCGACGCCACCGACGCCCTGCAATTCGACGGTGACGAGACGATAGTGGTGCAACTGGCGGATAAGGTGGAGGACGGCACGAGATGTTATTCGGACGGCACGGACGTATGCATCGCCGGCGAGTGCATGGTGAGTGATTTCTCTTTGCAACCAAACACATACATGTACACATATACACATATATGTACATATCCACGCATGAAAGAGCGGTCGCGATCGCTTTGATTAAAAGGTGAAACAATTTCCGTTGGAAAATCGCTACTGATCGCGGGTCGATCATGAATTCGCATTTCTCGCAAAACCGAACGAGTCGGTGTAAGTCAGTTCGATGTTACGTAAGCAGTCAAGCAGCTCGAGCTTACCTTTTCGCAGCCGTTACTATTATACTTTAGCAACGTCGAATGTCACGCACACAAAGTATACGTATCGAGGAATTCTACCAGTGAAAGCCGATATATCGAATGTTAACAGGACAATAGATACGATAGATACACGTAATGTCGTTAATGATTAAACGGCATTAGAATCATGTAGCAAGTGGAGTGGATAATATAGCAATACGTTGGCTGGGTATCCATATATTGCTTACGTTTATATATCGCAGGATTCTGTAACAAGTGGATAAATATGGATTTATCGAAATTTGCCGAACGCTCGCGGAGCGAAAATTAACGGCGGGTCGAATTCGCATAATTTGCGAAATCGTAGATTATTTAACAAAGCGCATCGTCGGGAGATTATCTCTGAGATTATTTTTCCCTCTCTCTCTCTCTCTCTCTCTCTCTCTCTCTCTCTCTCTCTCTCTCTCTCTCCTTATCTCTTTTTCATATAAAAATGGAATGTTTTGTTGCCTTTACTAACTTATTGGGACACTTCTGTCAAAATGGCATATTTTTCTCCTTCGATATTCGTCGAAACGAAATGAATTCCCTGGAAAAATCAGTTTATACCAGACATACGATATATTTTAATGACGACATTTCAGCGATATTTTAGCGAGTATGAAAATGTTAGTGGAGAATATGTCAATTTGATTAAAACTTCGATAAATTCACTACATTTAAAAAATCGTGATTGAAACGCGCGCGCACGCGCGAATGCACGACCGTCTTTCGACGAGTCGGAATTAACATAAAAGCACTCGGAAGAAAGAAAAGCGAATGGACGATAGAGGGAGAACGATTGTGCCTTAAGACCTCACGCTCTCTACGATAGACGAGTGGAGATCGAGCACGTACCGCGTGGACCGTGACGTCATTATTCCGTGCTTATTGCATGTGTCCCATGATTGATCCGATGCTCGAATGGAAAATCAACCGTACCCTGCTCTTCACCTCGCCGCACTTGAATGTCCATCGTAACGCGGTATTTCGAAAGAAAAGAAACGCATATCGGCCGTATTTCGCGCACATTGTGCATTGCACATCTGGCGCGTATTCCTCGGATATTGGCCAGAATTAGCCGCACTTTTTCAAAAAATGCTACCATCATCGGTGCTCGGACAAATCGATAAGCTTGAATGATATTTTCATATTAAGAGCCGCGGAAAACGCATTTATATTATTTATTATTTATGTCCCTTGTGCATCGATCAAATAAAAATAAACTCATCTGGTTACGGTGAAGTTTGAAATTTATATATGAAGGAGAGAGAGAGAGAGAGAGAGAGAGAGGGGAGGGAGGGGGGAGAGAGAGGGGGAGAGGGGAGGGAGGGAGGGGGGAGAGAGGGAGGGAGGGGGAGGGGGAGAGAGAGAGAGAGAGAGAGAGAGAGAGAGAGAGAGAGAGAGAGAGAGAGAGAGAGAGAGAGTGCATGTGCGTATATATTATATACGCATACGGTGTATCTTTTTCTTTTGTAATCGCCGCGATAGCAATATGCAATGAGTATGGCAGTAGGGCGCGCGGGCCGGTAATCGAATTACATGGGCAAATTAATCTCTTCGCGAAATGTACTCTCTTTCGCTCCCCATCTGTCTCTTGGATTCCAATTATGGTCGAGATTGCAACGCGATACTCGAAACGAACGCAGAACGGAGTTGCTCACTCGCTGGTTAGCGCACCGAAAAACGTGCCGTTACATTACTCTCTCGCGCACGCTCGTATTTGGCTACAGACAATTATCGATTCTTAACCGCAGCATTATCGGAGGCCATGGATCTGTCAGACGCAGGCCGCTGTATGTTAGGCGCGAGGTACATTAAGCGATAGGTACGGTACGCGCCGCTTGTCAGTCACTATAAATTACCGGTCGATCAACATGCGAGGGCCTTCACTCGTTAATTATGGAAATGCAACGATACACCGGTCGCCATCTCGTCTCACTTTCGTGCTTATTAACGAGGTGCGTGAAGATTAGCAGTCGCGAGCGAAACAACGAAAATTCGCGTTTAAATTACATGATATTGCAATTACGGGCGCGACAATCATCAGCTCCGAAATAGCAAAATACACTTCGGAACTGGTATAAACCATTAGAGAAGCTAACTTCCAGAGAAGGTCCGTTTCACAGCGAAAGCTTCGATTCGACGCGATTCGTGCGCGCAAAATGATTTTATTTTGTCGAATCCTCGCGCTTACGCATTTTTCGTGCCAGCGAGTCTCGCGTAGCTGAGAAAATAAATGCGCCCCCGGAACGTGCAATGTAGGAAATGGTGCGTTTTGAAAGATAAATAATTCAAAATCATAGTGTTTCGACCGAGATTACATTCTGATTTATTAATCTATTTAACTTCTCATTTGTGTGCGCATTGTTACACCATTGGATTTTGGTTTGCCTAATATCTTGGCAATTTACATATTAAATTTACCATTATTATTATTAGCATAATCACCACGTTTTGGACATCGATATAATTCGATCTGTACAATTTTGATCGAATAATTATTCGATTAATTAATCAAGAGTCGCTTATGAACGGAACAATATCCGCGAACATTAGCCGAAACAATGGAAATGGCAAATGGAAGTAACCTTTACATCTGCATGAAAGTTATATTTGAAATTAATTGTATTCACGTGAACGCGAGTTAATATCCAGTGCGGAAAAATTATATCCTTTACGATTTTTGTGAACAGGGATCAAAGAGCTCGCGAATGAAATGGCTAAAGCGGAAGCCGATAATTTCGGAACACTCGTGCGCACGAAGCGTTCGTACAAAATTGCGAACAGATACACGTACGCCTATGAAATATCATGAAATATCATGAAATATCTTCTCCTCGCGTTCGGAACATGACGCTGCGAGGGAGATACACAAGGGGAGAGGGAGATTTATTAGATTATTAATTAAGTGGATAAACGTAGCGCGTCCTTAAATACTTGGACGGTGCCGGGGCCTTAAATCCGAGATTAAACTGAAGGCGTTACTTAAGAATTTAGCCGCAATTGCCACTTCTCTTGTCGAAACTTCGCGGGATGAAACTTGCGGGAGTTAGTAGGGAAACTCCGGGTCAGAGAGAAGAGGATTCCCGTAGACGTCGGCGCGCGCGGTATAGGCGCGTACGTACATCAGGTTTCCAGATTCTTCGAGGCCCGCCGGAGTTCGCAACCTGTCGGTCGTCAACTCGCTCATCGGGACAATAGCGCGACGACAACGCGTTTCGCACGTTTCGTCGAAGAGATGCGCGTTTCCTAACGAAGCGCTCAACTTAGCTTCGCGCGCCAATATTTATCATAGGCGTGTCGAAAGAGAGAGGGGGAGGGAGGAGAGTGAGTGAGAGAGGCTCGATCTCATCGTCCATTAACTTAATTTGATCTACGTCATATACATGTGCGTGTATATATGCATATGACAAACGCGTATGTTCCGCGAGTGCTTAATGAAGATTGTCCGGCGTTACTGCGCGATAATGTCGCGATGAAACGTCTCGCTCGCGCTTCATTTCAACGAATATCGCGCGGCGCGACTTGTGGAATGGTAAATTGTGAAAAATTACGCTCGTTACGTAATCTCGGCGTGTACGGGGCGATTAGTGCGCTTCGCTGATACTTCTCTCCAACATCTCTCGGCGAGTCACCTTTTCGCGATATTTATCGCACCTTCTTGCGGCAGGTCGCGCACTTTTCAGAAAAAAAGCGTATCGTTCGAATACAAATGCGACGGATGTGGCTCTCGCAACTTTAACACAGCGGGAGGAAGTAACGAGTATATAATGCGCGACATTACGTGATATACGCGCGCAACTTCGAACTCGCGCTCGCCGTCGACGTACTTCGCACCGTCCGATAAACCGGCCGAATCTCCTCGATAACTTTTAATGAGACGCCCCTGTGTGCCCGCGCTGTCATTATGATCATCCGTTGTTCCTGCGCGTATTTTTATATACATGTACGTTGCATACACCTGGATATTTAATTTTTCATCGTTACAGGCCGGTAATAATTCATCCAATTGGTTTAATTTGTTTGATCGATCGTGGTGGCATGCTTTTCAGCCATCGCAACTGATCTTTAATTCAGACGTCATATTAATCGTCATTTACAATTGAGACTGAAACAACGAGACAGAATTTTTAGACGAGGGAGATTGTCATCGTTGCCGCGTGCAAAGGGATTATTTAAAGCATCCCCTAAGTAATTCGCGGCGCGATACACACAGCGCACGATTTCCGGAATTTTATTCACGTAAGAATTAGAAATTTTTTCTTCCTCTCGCTTTCTCTCTCTCTCTCTCTCTCTCTCTCTCTCTCTCTCTCTTTCTCTCGCTTGGTCCACGCGCGCGTGGTATTAAAATCTTAATTCTTTGATCCTAAATTAAATGAGATTCGTGATGCCGCGGAAACAACCAGAAAGAAATCGGATTAACAATAACGCCGCGGCGCGCGAACGCGGTACTCCGGGAAATAATTAACGGATTCTCATAACCGACGACGCCGACGACGCAGTCGGCGGGGACAATATCTAATCAGCGGAGAAGTCCACGTAATTAAGCATTAAGCAAACTCCGGTAAACGCAAACTGGCTTTACATTATTAAAGGTGCCAAGAGCAGCACGCTCTCTTTCTCTCTCTCTCTCTCTTCCCCTATCTCGTTCGTGGACACGCTCGATGGACGTGTCGAGCTTTTTCATTACGTCGCGCACTCGTTAAAATCTATCTTCGGCAAAACATACGAAGATTATGCTGCCACTCGCCGCTTTCGTCCCGGCAGAAGAAAGCGGGAACGGCGAATTTTTAGAAATTATCTCACCCGCGAATTGCGGCGAGAACACTCTTCTCCTCATTCTCCTCTCCCCCCTCCCCGCTCGCCAACGTGCTGCGGCGTTTCCAACCGCGCGCGTGCCTTCGACATTCGTTCCATTCGCGGGGCTCGCTGCGAAAACTAGGCTTTCCGGTGATTTCGGTTATTCTGAATGCAAACGTGCCTCGACTTCGGCCGGGATGCGAAAGAAAATTGTCTATTCGCGCGTACACGTGAGGCGCGATAACGAAAAGTCGATATTTCGTTCGCCGCGGTCGTGCGGATGGGGGGAGAGGAACGGGGGGATTTTTCCTTTTGCAGCGGAAAAAACGCCGTTACGCAGCAATGAAGAACAGCAATTAGACGTTCCGTCGCTCTTGTCAAACTACACAGCAGTTCTTCAAACGGATACTTGAACCTTTGTACGGGTACGAATTTCTCAATAATATTCTTATCAAAATTGACACTCTACATTTCGGTGAAAATCGCAACTTCCCGCCTTCCGAGCTTTTGACTAAGATTAATGCCGGGGAACAAAAAAGGGGAGCATGAGAGAGCGAGCCGTGCGAGGGGCAAAAATTTGCCTTCCTTACGGCTCGTCTACTTGTCCTTTTTGCCACCCTGCTGTATAGCTAGCTCTCTCATCCGGTTCTTTCTTCTCCCCTCGGGAACTTAATTCTCCGAAATCCTTTCATCTTCGGTTGCTTATCACCGAGAATATTATCGGTGTCCTGAAATGTGAAGAGCTGTTCACCCTCTCTCGGATGTCTGTGAAGTCGAGGAGCGGCAATGGCCTGCAATGGATAAGCGTGTATAGAAAGTATCGAAGATTGAATCGCAGTTGTGTACATCCCCGGACAGGTGCACAATAAAATTCATCGCGCCGGTGAAAAACACGAAGGAGAATAAAGTGCCGCCCAGCGCGGTAGGAGAGAAGGTTAAGCACCCCCCCCCCCTCCCTCCAGTCTGTGAATCCCATTCTCGGGAGAACTATGTTAAAAGGTAGAAACGAGAAGAGAAAGAAGTCGGTGGCGCGGATGGTGGCGTTGGTAGTAGTGGTGGTGGTGGAGGTGGTGATGGTAGTGGTGGTGACGGTGGTAAGTCAGGGTGAAGTGTGGAGCCGGGACGGGAGAGCTGTTAGAAAAGGTGGGTTGTATCTTAATGGGGGTGCCGACGACGGCGGAAGGGTGCTAAGGGCGAGAGAAAGGTACATGGAATAGTATCTCGAGCGCGCGAAGAAAAAGAGAGAGGGGGGAGAGAGAGAGAGAGCCTTGAATAATTGAATGCCAGTCAAATTTGCGCAACGAAATTGCTACGGTACGGAAAATCACGAGACATTGGCAATTATCGGCTTTTTCGCCTTTGCTGATCTCTTTGATATTCCAATTTGAGTAGAGATCGCGTGTACGAACCTAGTAATAGGTTTCTCTCGGGAAGTATCGGGAAATCGCGTTTGCGTGAATTTTCCTAATAGAATTTCTGGCTGGCGAAAGCTGCGACGAAAGTGCACGTCGAAACGCGTGCGCGACTAAGACTCACGAGGGAGAGGACTCCCTCCGGTAATATTTCACTATACGGATCTCGAATAATTCGGCGTTATTACGACGAGATTAGCGACAATGCGGCTGTGCAACGAGGTGAATCGTTAGGAATCGGTGAAGCGCCGCGTCACACTGCCCCGACGGTCCGCGATGTTCCGCAAAAGTTGCGCGCAATGTCGAATGTACAACTTAATACGGAGTGCTCGCGACGACGATACTTCGCGAGATTATGATAATAATTCTCCCCGTCCTCTTATTTTGTCCGCCGCGTGTTTACGCAACATATAACGGCTATTTGTGCGAAGCCAAGAGACGGCAGAAGAATCGCGAGATCGGTCGGAGTGCCGCGATTAAGTCCCGCGATATTTCATCTCGCACGCCCAGCGGACTTCTCATTTCCGCTGACTTGTTTACCTGGAGACATAACCGGTTGCTCCTCGATGGCCCCATCTTTCAATTATCGGAGCCCGTCATTGATTTCCACTTCCGTGGGGCAAAGTAAACCTAATCCGGCGCACCCGCGTGCCGGTAGTATAAAGCGTTGTGATATTCCATCGGCATACAGCGGCGATGACCAGAGAAAACGCGCGATACAAATTTGACCTCGCGCGAAATTAAATTTCGCTGCATATCCTAGACGCAGTTGTCCGATCGGGTGACGGATTGATCGCCGAGCCGTTCCGCTCTTCTCGCGATCCCTTCACGACCGGCGAGTCCCTTAGAGGCGACTGAGAAGATATATCGTAATCACGAAAATGAACTTGAGATGTTCGCGCTCTTCTTTGCGTTATCTTCTGCAATTCTCGTTAAAATGACGATTTTCTTCTTCAAAGTTTTCACATCACTCTACAAAGTCCTAAGCAAGTTACATACATATTTATTTTACGAACTTGACTTTTTCTCCCTTTCCGATTACAATATTCGCAGGATCCCTAAATTTGTAGATCCGGTCTAAGTAAATTTGTCTGCTTTATCACCGGCGACTTAATTATCTCATTGGAATTTTAGAACATGTTCGCGCAGTTATAATAGTTGAAGATGGTGCAAAATATAATTTGCGAGTATATCGCGTGTGCATACAATTTTACCGCTTACCTTTGCTATATTCGGCGAAAGTGCCCCTTTCGATCCGCTCTGTCTGGCATCCCAATTTTCCCGGATATTTTTGCTCTCGCGTTAATGTAGCTTCTCGATGCGTGAAGCCAACCGGCTATTAGAGAGACCGGTTTCGTTTGGGGGGGGAGGGGGGAGCAAGGGAGAAAGAGAGCGTACGGAAATAAAGTACTTGCCTGAACCGGCTTCCGCATTGGCCCGCGGGATAAAACTGTGCCGCGGCCGTAACCGCCGCAATTCGCCGAATGACGATCACCGGTGTTTAATGGAAGTATTTCGCAGAGTTTGGAACTTGAACGATAATCGAGCCCGATTTCGATTCTGGGAACCAAATCGAACGGTCAATTGGGCCGAAATGGAGACCGTCGTACGCGCTCTCTCGCGCGCGCTGCACGAAATTTAGCGCGCAATTTTCGCTCGGCAATGTCTACCTCGCACCGAGCGACATTGTTACGTTACATTTTTTCCCTTTTTCCTGCACATAAAGGAAGATTCGGGGACGCGCGGCGACGAGTGAATAATTGCACACGATACTCTTTCTCTCTCCTCCTCTCCGCCGATTCTTCCCGTTACTTCCGTTTCGCGCTGGCACAGTTCTTTAAGCACGAAGACGCTTCGCCCGACTTCGCCGGCGTTGGAGCTTCTCTCATCTCGTTTAAATCGCGTGTAATCGGAACAAGCGATTTATTCGCGGGCCACTTCGCGAAATCTCGGATTATCTCACCGCCAACATCGCTTATACGATGGGTCCCTCGTTAGGCTCACGTCCCTCTCCTTTTTATTTCCTCCCCCCCCCACTCTTCCTCCTTCTCTCTTTCTCTCTCTCTCTCTCTCTCTCTCTCTCTGTCTCTCTTTCTCTCTCGATCGTTGCTGCCTCTTCCCGGCATCTCCGACGCGTTCCACTTCGCTCGCTCTCTCGCACCTTCTTCGCTTTCCGCCTTCGGTCCACCTCACTCTTCTCTCGCCCCGGATAAGGGATGAATAATGTACTCCCCGATCTCTGAGCAAACCTCCATGCAACCTGAATGACAAATCAGTTTGCCGTCCGAGCCAGGTCACGAATCGACGTCAGCCTTACCTCCACCCTCCTCCCTCCCACCGCCGTCTCTCTGCTCACTCTCTGTCTCTAACTCTCCTCCGCAGCCTTTTCTGTCGGAGGTCCTGAATGTTCGCGGGACGTTTTTCGCTCTCGCACGACTCCCGACGGCAAGCGTCGGCAATCGTCAACGTTTTTAATGTCCCCGGGACATATCGCCGTTCCGACGATACGCTCTTCCGGCTCCTCGAGTCGGAGCTGCTGCGACCAAAACGAGAAAGTGTCCTGACGTCGTGCAAGCAGCGAGTCGACGTTATCGGATACGAGCGCGACTTAACACACAGCTATCGAAATTCGGTGGGATTTCTGTGCTGCGTATTTGACAATTTGGGGAGTCGAGTCGACACGTCAGAGTCGATATATGAATTCGGGGGATTATCGAGAATCTAGATATCTCACTCGAGCTTTTTTATATATTGCGTAATAATTTTTTCGAACGCTTGTCTTTTGATTTTGCCGACGAAACATCGATTACATTTCCCGCACAACTGTTATCAATCCAAGGTACCAAGGGTCAGGGACGACGAGATCGAAAGGGAGTACTTAAACAATCGTCCATGACGAAAGAAAGGTCACTTGTCCTTGACAAGATTAGTGTGTAACAATAATAACTGCGGCCGAGAGCCGTTATATCGAGGGATTTCATTAATCGAGCGTGGATTCCTGTTTCAGAAGGTCGGCTGCGACCTTAGAGTTGGCAGCAACAAGAACACGGATGCGTGTGGCGTGTGCGGAGGGAATGGATCAAGCTGCCAATCGCGATACTTCTGGAGTTTGGAATCGATATCCGCCTGCTCCAAGTCCTGCGGTGGAGGTTGGTAATTACCGGGGTTAATTTAGCCACATTTCCGCCGCTCCGAGCGTTACCGCAATCGCGGTGCGGCGCACAACGCGACGTTGCGCAAAAATTCGGAAATCGATCGTCGGGAAGCTCGAAGCCGGAGGCACAAAAATACGTAGCGCGGATGAGACGCGGCGGAAAACGCAACGAAAATGCGCGAGGTTGCATAATTCCCTCGCGACAGCCGCGCAAAAGTGACTCTCGCATTATCGCCTCGCCTTTGGCTCGGCAGCAGCGTTAAATAAGCATGCGTCTCGTCGGGCGGCTATGTACGAGGGTGGTCCGATAAGTACTTAGCCTACAAAAGAAAAACGAAAATTTTGGAAAAGTGGCGATTTATTTCTCAACATAGTCTCCTTTTAGCTCGATACACTTGACCCAGCGGTGCTCCAACTTCTTTAACCCGTCTGAAAAATACGTTTTCTCGAGGTCTGCAAAGTAGGCCTCCGTGGCGGCGATGACCTCCTCATTCGACTCAAATTTCTGCCCGGCGAGTGACTTTTTCAAGTTTGGAAACAAAAAGAAGTCGCACGGGGCCAAATCTGGAGAATACGGTGGATGGGGCAGCACTTCGTAGCCCAATTCGACCAATTTGACCGTGGCGAGGGCGGAGGTGTGAGCCGGTGCGTTGTCATGGTGGAAGAGCACTTTTTTCTTCGCCAAATAGGGCCGTTTTTTCTGCAATTCGGCGTCGAATCGGCCCAATAATTCGGCATAGTACAGCCTTGTGACCGTTTTGCCCTTATCCAGGTAGTCGATATAGATCACACCTTGTGAATCCCAGAAAACGGTGGCCATCACCTTTCCGGTCGATAGGACAGTCTTCGCCTTCTTCGGAGCACGTTCGCCAGGTGAAGTCCACTGTTTCGACTGTTCCTTGGTCTCTGGTGTGTACCAGTAGATCCATGTTTCGTCGACGGTCACGAAACGACGCAGAAACTCCTTCGGATTGCGCTTAAACAGCGTCAAACACTGCTCTGAAGTGGTCTCACGGTTGCGCTTGTTGTCCGGAGTGAGCAAACCCATCGCGCCGACAGCTTTATCATGCCCAAAATTTCATGCAGGATATGACCCACGCGGTCTTTTGAGATGCCTACTGTCTCAGCTATCTCGCGCACCTTCAATCGGCAGCCTGCCAATACGAGATCGTGGAATTTTGCTATGTTATCCTCCGTGGTAGCCGTTTTCGGGGCACCTGGGCGTGGCTCATCAAAAACCGACGTGTGACCACGTTGAAACTCGTTAAACCAATTTTTGACGGTCGCCATCGGAGGAGAAGAGTCACCGTACACAGCATCCAAGCGCTCTTTGATTTCGCTGCTCGATTTCCCTTCCAAAAACAAGAATCGAATCACCGACCGATATTGCTCTTTTTCCATTTTTCTAAAATCCGCGGACACGCCCGCTTCCACACGCGGTCAAAACAAAACTACGAGTCCGATTCGGCTGAAATTTCGACAGTAGCCGTCTACGAGAATGTACTACACGATAGTAAATTTCTCTTGCGATAGTGGCGCCATCGGGCGGTGAGGCTAAGTACTTATCGGACCGCCCTCGTACATCCTTAAAAACCAGGACAACCTTGGGCGAAAAGAGACACACGGCGGGGTACGTATCGTGCGCGGGGATTGTTCGCACGATAGCGCAACGCTGTCGAATCACGGGACTGATTTACCGGTCTCGTTTTCGCGCTAATAGGTTTCAAGAGAGCGGTGGCAGTGTGCAGATCGGTCGGCGCCGACGAGAGTGTCGTGGAGGACAGCTATTGCGATACAAACGGCAGGCCGGAGAAGACCCTAATGCCGTGCAACACGCACCCCTGCACAACCAAGTGAGTACTTTCGGACAGACTAAACTATCTTCGGCGGGAAAGGGGGGAAGGGGAGTAGAACGTAGGCTGCATGCACGTTCTACTACGTCCAGGAACGTCAAGCCTCCGCCAACTCGCGTGCGCAATCATCGGGGAAGTATTGCGCGCGATTTCGCGCGTAAAATATTTCAGGCCGCCCGCTCGCTCGTTTCCTGCTGGCAGTGATATCGCATTCTCACGGCAATTAACGCCAGATAAATCGTAATTCCGCCTACGCACGTAAGTGATATCTCGGGCTCTCTCTCTCTTTCTCTCTCTCTCTCTCTCTCTCTCTCTCTCTCTCTCTCTCTCTCTCTCTCTCTCTCTCTCTTCCTCTTCTCTCTCCCTCTCTCACTTTCTCGGGGGAAGTAACGAGGAGGCGAGCGGGCGAAATTGGGAACCCTCCGCTCGCGGGTACAAACGATCCCTGTTCCTATAACAATATTTCTCTTCCGTTGCGCGGAAAGGTTGCAAGGTAGCGATTTAAAGCCAGCTTTCTCTCTCTCTCTCTCTCTCTCTCTCTCTCTCTCTCTCTCTCTCTCTCTCTCTCTCTCTCTCTCTCCCTCTCTCTCTCTCTCCCTCTCTCTCTCTCTCTCTCTCTCTCTCTCTCTCTCTCTCTGTCTCTCTCTCTCCCTCTCTCTCTCTCTCTCTCTCTCTCTCTCTGTCTCTCTCTCTCTCTCTCTCTCCCTCTCTCTCACGATGGGAATTGTCCAACAAACGACGAGATACTCCGCCGCCAACGAGAGTCTCGAACAAAAACTCCCGCGAACTATTCTCTCTGGATACACGAGCCCGCTGAAAGCCGTGGAATAGCGCGCGATAAGTTTACCGTCTGGTGTACCGAATTTGTTCTTTGTGCACGAATTTATAGTTCAATGTTCGCGGAGCGGTCGGTGTCCCTCGCCCGATGCGCCCTTCGTCGCCGTATCGCGAGCGATTAAGGCGATTCGCGCTTGGTGCGCGACCACCGTGAAAATGTCGCGCTCCACCGTGCGTGCGGGATATTTCCTCTTACCTTGCGTTGCCCGCACGTAGAAAGGATCGCGGCGAATCGCGAGAAATTCCAGCGCGACAAATAATAACGATGAGAATGTATTTCATGTGTAAACTTCGTGAGAGAGACTCACACGGACAGGACGGGTAGAGAAAGAAAGAGAAAGAGGGAGGGAAAGAAAAAACGAACGGTAAAATTCGCATCGCGGAGGCTACGAATTTTATTACGAAATCGCGCTTCACAGGTGACACGCTAGGGTTTTATCGAACGTAACGTGCAAGTCGCTCGATATGTCTCTTCCGCGACACTCGATAATCGATCGGCGAATCTCGCGAAAATTGTCGCTTGGTGCATACGCGCGTCAGTGATACATCACCGCAACGCGATATCGAAACGTATCATTTGACGATTAAGACGGGGCAATAGTTGAGCGCGACGCAATTGAACGGCTTTTACGGTCGGCGTCGGCGACGATGGCCAACACACCACGTGCGCGGCACACACAGTATCGTGATTACAAGTTGGCCTGACCGATGAATTACCAGCGGCATTGATCTCGTCACCGGCAAATCGGCGCTAATTGGAGCAGCCGCGAGTTTAGTTGAATTTAGTTTACCCGGCCAGACCGAAAGCGACCCAACGTGGGGCCGCCGTGTCCTGCTTTCTCTAAAGAGAGGGAGAGAGAGAAAGAGAGAGAGAGAGAGAGAGAGAGAGAGAGAGAGAGAGAGAGAGAAAGAGGAGAAGAGAGAGGAAGAGAACCGAGACTTCGACCGGCGCGAAAAGCCGCAACCGCGCTTTCAGCTGGCGATCCGGAAGCTATGATTTAATTGTGTATTACGAGTAGTCGCGTTATTCACTTGCGACGCTTAAGCGACCGCTGCGCGCGAGCGTTATTATTATGGAATAATTCGGGCTGGTGTCTAATTAAAAGAAGGACTGAAGGCGGGAGAGATGAAAATAGCGTACGATATATCAGAGATTCAACGTATATATGAAAAATAATATTGGCTTAGAGAAATTATTATTAATAGAAATTACCGGTCTCGCTGCGTACATCCGAAAGCCCATCGAGCGGACGCGCGTGCGCGCGTGAGTCTTGTTTTATACTTTATTTGTCGTGCCGATTTGCCCTGCGACGGAGAGTGTCTCCGCGCCGTCGCGTAAAACATAGTGTAGTGTGTGTGTTTTTTTATGTCTTTATTAAGAGACTCGCCTGTGAAAAAATATCGCAAGCAAGATTCGCGTTGCGTAGCGAACCGTCTGTAGGAATCGTCGACGTGCGGGCGATCGTAGGATCGATGGATCCACGACCGTCGAAAGCGTGATTTCCTCTCTCGTCTTTTTTCCTCCTCAGAGCGAACGAGGGAAATTGAGAAAGTTGATGGTGGACAAGTTGGAATCTCGCGAGAGAGCCGCGAAGAGAGAGAGAGAGAGAGGGGAGAGAGAGAGAGAGAGAGAGAGAGAGAGAGAGAGAGAGAGAGAGAGAGAGAGAGAGACACGTGCGATACAGCGACATTTGCCAAACAATCTGCATGTTTAATACACACCGCTTTGTCGTGATGCCCTCGGAAATTGCGGGCATCAAAGATCGCTTTGAGGATCACGTTGCGGGAAGAATCGCGGCCGGGGCTTGGAAGATCGCTTGTAAGGACGGCGATAATCGATGATCGATATTGGACACGTGCGCGGGCGCGCGTGCGAAACACCAGATACGAGCTTTCCGTTTCACTTTGTCATTTAGCGCAATCGCTCGTATACGGAACATTTTTACGGCGTCATGCATGAAAAATGTCGAGAGTGACTTTGACAGTTTCATAAAAAAAAAAGCCTGTTAGCTCGATGGAAGCCACTCTGTCCGTGTTACTTGGTAAATGCCCTCGGTATCACCCATTACGTTGGAAATGAAAACCATCAAAAGTGTCTGCGGAGCGTTTAATAAAGAAACACTTGGCTATTTAGGACTAAAATATCCGCGTGATTACGTGAACGTTTCGTATCGGGAGTAAAGTCCGCGTTCCACTATCGTCGAGCCCTCGTCGGTTCTCATCGGTTGTTCGCCTGTAGTAGAAATCCGCCGCATGCAACGCTTTTGCCGAAGCAATAAAACAACCGATGTATAACAACCGATGTAAATAAACAACCATATTTAATGTGTTGAATTACCAAAGAGGAGAAGTCAATAGGTCTTTGGGATAAATGTCGCGTCGCATTTGAAGCAAAGTGCACGAGCGGCTATTTCGTCTCTCACACACGCGCTCGTGAAATATAACATGTTCCGTCTATAAGTGCGAAAAGAGAGAAAATGACAAGAAAGAAGGGAAACCTATCAATGAGCACACGCATGCCGCATTTTAAACGCATCTCTCTCGTGCGACGTATTGAATGCCGAAAAGCTCGCATCGCGGTATTGACGTGGCGTTCATTTTTCATCCCGATCTTAAATAAGTTACAAGTTTGTCGGAGGTCATTTTTAGGTTGGCATTTTTAGGTTGCCAACGAGGGCAGGATGTTAATTAACTTTTACCGGCGCGTATATGCGACAGTGCTCATGACTTTCGCGACATGCGAACGCAAGTGACCGCATAACCTCCCGGTTGTGGTAACAAACTTTGCGTCCCTCCTCTCTGTTTCTCTCTAGCTCCTTCTCTTTCTCTTTCTTTCTCGTTCTCTTTGTAATACTGTCGATTTCATCGCGACGATCTTTCTTCTTTTCCCTTTTAGATGGATAACCGGGGAATGGAATGTGTGCAGTGCGAGCTGCGGCGGTGGCTCGCGAACGAGGTCCGTCTTCTGCGCCGAGGAGAATGGGAACGAAACCATCAAGGTGAGTCAGAGAAAAAGGAGAACGCTATTCGTGAAACTTTTCGATAGTAAAAGTGTTCATATCGGCGAAACATCGTTTGGTCTGGTCGTCTGATGCAATGATCTCAACAGAACTCGAGGAGAGTCGCTCATCACACGCGACTAACATGAAAACTGAAAACTTCATATTTTCTCAGGTTTCGATCGTCCCACATTGCGAAATATCTTTCGGCAATCAACGTTGATAAGATTGGGCTCGACGAAATCGTATATCGTGGCTGAACATTTTATCGTTACTCTCGTGACTTTTGTTGTTTCATGTACCGAATGACGATTATCCATTGTGCATGTAAACATCGCCACTACTTCATATCCTTGACATATGAAGTATTTTCCAAATTTACGGGGGGAAGAGAAGGAGGGAAAGAAAGAGAGAGGGAAAAAGTTGGTGAATTTAACCATATCAAAAGTAGCGGTAGCGGTCGCGGTTCGGAAACTTCGAAGAATGGCCAGGTCGCGTCCGAAAGGAACGCCAGAGGAACGTCGACGCGACGGAACTTTACGATGTAAAGACAAATATATCTTTCGGAATAAATCTGCCAGTGTGCGACGGAATCAGCGTTACGCGTGCACACGATAAAATACGCCACATTTTTCACATTTCGCCACTGACGTTAGACACGTTGTAATTCCGCTGGCGCGTTTCCGCGCGGACGGCACGTTAACCATCCCTCCCTCACTTCACCAGGCCTCTCTCTCTCTCTCTCTCTCTCTCTCTCTCTCTCTCTCTCTCTCTCTCTCTCTCTCTCTCTCTCTCTCTCTCTCTCTCTCTCACTCTCTCTCTCTCTCTCATCTCGGGAATTTTATGTCGTACTTTCCTACTTGTCTGAGAGTCGCATTTACATACGTACCGTGTCTCGCTTCTCACGACGATCTTGTAAGATCCGCGTTTCCTAACCCAGTTCGGTTCGTTTAAACTCGAAGAGCCGCTCCCGAGTATACGCCGTCGCTCACCGTAAAACCACCTCACCTCACTCCTCAACCCCCTCCCCCGACAACCCGCACGCATACCGACTTGCACCGACGTACACAGACGACATTGCATATGTACAGTGTGTCCTACAACTGTCTGGATCCGTCTTTTCATCCAGGCATCCCGACACATTCGGAATCAATCTGCCTCCGGGTGAGAATCCGACGTCGCGACGAGTTTGGCCGGCGCGCTAACGTTAAATATCCCCCGACGATTGAACTTTGAATTAAATTTCGGCCGAGACATTCTCGCGACTTTCCCTTTAATCTGTTTACACCACCACAGCTTCATCGGTAAGGACCCGCCGTGGCAACGTCCCGACATTCAATCCGTCGGACGTCTCACCCGGTCTCTCGGTACAATTTCGTCCGGAGACTCAGCCACCCTTCCCTCCCTCCGTTCGCTTGTCCATTTAATAATCTCTGATGAAAGGTATGCCTCGCAGACGTGGTCTCAGGACAACCCCCGTACACGTGTAAGCTCGTCTACGGCTGCACATACACCGCACAAACCGGGACTTACATTAAATTCTTATCGTTGCAGCTGGCCGACCACAAGTGCAGCGGCACGCACAAACCGCGCACTCAGGAGAGCTGCAACACCGTGTCCTGCCCTATGTGGGAGACCGATAAATGGAGCGAGGTGAGAGTGCATGCAATTCTACACGAGAGTGAAACCCGCTGCGCCCGTGTACACGCCCGACGCCATAGTGTGTTGCATGTTATGTATATGTATATATGTGTATGTCTATTGTGATATATATATATATATATATGTACATATATGTATGTATGTATATATATATATATATATGTATGTATGCAAGTGGTGGAATACACGGAGATTGCGGAGAGACGCGCGCGGCGGGAATGCCCCTCGCTCGTATCATTTGGGGACGCGAGCGTTAAGCCTGGCGACCGCCGCAATCACGGATTTAGGTGCACGCGCATCCGGTCCAGCCGCACTTAAACACACGAAACCTCGCCGGCCGGCGCCTTGCGCTCGCTCGCGCTATCTTTGCGCGAGTTTCGCCGCGGCGTGGCGCGGCGCGGCGCGGCGCGGCGGAGCGTGGTCGGCCGACGAGGGGAAACGGGGTTAATAGTCGCAGGCGATTTGTGCACGTTCCCTTAACTCTCTCCGTGCGGGTGTCGCCCGTTATGTTACGCGCGAAAGGACCGGTGTACACGACTAAGTCCGGCGCTTCTCGGGCTCGGAGTGTTATACGGCGAAATCAAGATCGTCGAGATGATTTTGCGCTTGCCCAAGCGGGTCGGACGGTGCTCTGGGACACGGGAGGCAGATCGCTTCGTGTCGCGGGAAAAAGAAGCTCGGCTCGCGCGACTGAACAGCGACCGGACGGGAATTCATGAGTCGCAAGCGATATTTCTATTATCGCGGCCGGAAACGTTCATCTGGACGTTTGACCGCTTTGAAGCACGCTTGAGATAACTGAGAACAGTTGACTGCGTGGAAATTTCCCGCAGCAATTTTCTGTATAATTGAAAGTTTCTGTCTGCTTCGCAGACGACGGAAAATCAGTTGTACAGTTGTTAATCGAGCTTTTTCTCTTTCCATGCTGCCAAGAGTATCTTTAGTATTCGCGTTTAATATTTTCATTCTTGAGTGGAAGATGAAGGATATGTAATACCGTATGAGTCAGGATTTTCAAAAGTCTCATTAATGATGCTTGTCAGAATAAAATCAAGACGTTTCAGTCTACACCAGATTATATAAGTAGTGATTGAGTTCGTTAACTTTGGCTAACGTCAATTCCGGTCTTTCTGATATCCTTTATCGATTTTTCGAAATAGAACTACATAAAGTAGACGGATTCGATTGTAGATTGACGTGTCCACGCGTGATAGACGCGTCGTCTTTGGTGATTACGTAATGAGTGCTCGCGCGATTAGCCGATTCGATCAGGAAGGCTCTCGAAATAATTGCGTGCTGTAACGTTCGCGCATTGCTCAAAGCTCGCGTTAATTTGTCCGTATAAATCCAGCTTGCGGTATTATTATATAACGCTCGGACGCGGTCGCGGGCGTGCACAGGCACACAGCGAGGAAGCCTTTAATTATGCGATATTATCGCGTGTGCATAAAACTACTTCCGAGTCCGATTCGACGGAGTTTACGGTGTCGTACGTAGCGTTTAAAGGCAAAGCAAATTAACAGCCGTGCCCGACTCACACGACGGTGCTTTTGACGACGGCGACGGACAACGGCGTCGCCGACGTACCGCGTCGTGTCTTCATCGCGTTTCGAGGGTCATGCGCGCGCGCGCGCGCGAAAACGTAACTTCCTTCTCCCGTACAATCGCGATACGCTCGCCTCTCCGTTGTCGTCGCTAGAAACGACGACAGAATCCGATTTTCTCCCAAAAGCCGCGACCCGTTGTAATTGCACGTGGACACAAAAGCTGGATGAAGTTATATTCAATAAAGACGACGCTCCGAAAGATTCGCGCCCTGGATGGATCCGTGGAGCGAACTTCTCGCTCGAAGCCGGTCCATATATGTGCACACGTATGTGTGTGTGTGTGTATGTGTGTGTGTACCTATATTTCCGTGCGAAAAGACGTTAGACTTTACGTCGGTACTTGTTGCTTTCCTTCTATTCCGTGACGGTGAAGAAGAATTCGCGTTAGATCGCTTAACGACGAGAGCGATTCGTTTTTGTTTCTCGGGCGGAATAATTTCAGCTGACATACACCGACGGATTCTATTTCTCCTGGTTTCATTAGCTGTCAAGAAAAAGCCCGACCAGAGCCGTACGTTTTTATCCGAAGCGTATAACGGTTTCGAAGCGCTTCTGCGGACGGAACAAAGGAAATCGACGAATCCAACAAGGTCGGAAACGTTTCTGCCCGCGATCTCGCGGCCGCGTGTGTTCGTTCGTGCGCCGCATCTCCATCCATCCGTGCCACGTTTTGCTCCTTTGCCACTCGCTCCTTTCCTCCCTTCTCTTCGTTCTCATGAAAAAAGAAAGGTCGCGAATCATGGCAACGTAATTTTTTAACCCTCCCCTCCCTCCTTTCCCGCCGATGGAGAACTAATTACCTCGATGTTCAATTAGCGCGAGAAAATTGCGGAATAACACGTGAATTAAATGGAATTGGGCACGAGTGTTATCCGGCCGGGAATTACGGATCAACTAGCATATAATCTAGTTTGTGCTTCATTTTGCGCAAACAACTCGTTTGCTTTTCGCAAAACGCAGAACGCAATAAATTTCTCACTCCTGATTAAGGCAGCTTGTTTGTTTCTGCCGGCGGGAGAGAAGAAGAGGGAGAGGAGGAGACTCCTTCGTTAAGATATATTCTAATCTGTCTTACCGACGCAGTCCGTAGTTTTTTATTGAATAGCCGGAGATAAATGGAAATGGAATTCTTGCATTTGCACCCCGCACGCATTAGTTATATCGCGTCTTTGTACTTCCAAAATGGGTGATATATAATGCGGTACACGTATAAATAATAATCAATAAAAGTGCATTGAATGACTTGGCGTGGGAGATTCTTCAGCGAGAGGCAAATATTTAAAGATGCAACCCCCGTAACTCGACAAGCGTGAGTCGCATAGCTCGTTCGCTCATGGCATAAACGTACTAAATGGAAATAAAATATCTGTGTGAAATATTCACGCATCGGTTATCCGAACGGAAACGCTTCCCGGAAAAGGAAAGCTATTAATTCGACGCTCAGCGAGAACGACACTGATATCTGTTCTCTCCGGGTTGCTTTCGTGAGAAATACCCCGTGACTCAATAACCGATTCGCACCTTCGCCTTGTGCCGCAAGAAAGCAAGGGAGAGACTACGAGGGAGAAAACGAGACGTACCTGCGCTTTTCCAAGCACAGACGGTTGTATCGAGCAGTAGGCGAATGCGCGTATAAAACGGCACCCTCATTCGCGCTCCACATCGTCCGCCTGACGTGCAAATCGGATTTCCTCGGAGGCGAGGAATCGCGAACCGCTCGAGCGGAACATCGCACGCGCTCGTCGCGTCTGCCGCGCCGCGAAGGAGGACGTGCGGGTTGCGAGATTCTCCCAAAGAACATTCTCGCGTAAAAATGAAGACGGACCCACCAACTCCTGCTTCTCTCTCTCTCTTTCTCTCTCTCTCTCTCTCTCTCTGTGTGTGTGTGTGTGTGTGTGTGTGTGTGTCTCTCTCTCGTTTTCTTGCCTCACTTCGTCGTTGACTCGTGTGCGAATTGCGTTTAAACCACGCGAACGTACGAACGAACCGAGTTCTTTCCCTCTCCCCCCCCTCTCTCTCTCTCTCTCTCTCTCGTCTCTTTCATCGCGTGTGGAAAATCTCCCGAGTTACCGTCGCCCCGTCCAGCTATTGCTCCTCGTCGCGGTGCTTTTTGAGGATGCTGCAGGATGCCACATCAGCATCACCGACAACATCAAACAGGACAATTTAGTCATCAAATAAGCGTCTCTTTGCACTCCCGACCTCGTGGCTTTTTCGTCTCTTCGATACGGCGTTGCGGACTGTCCTAGGAAGGCAACAACCATCACCGTCGTCCGATTACGTTACCTCTTTTTCCTATGGCAAAGTCGCGGAAGTAAGAAGGACGCGCACTGTCGCACGGAGATCGGCACCATCAATTCGGGGAGAGGAAACGGAGACGTGATAGATGGAGTGATAAGTAAATAGAATGTTGCATACACCGCACGGCCGTGCCTTATCCCCGGACACATAAACAATTCACCGACGTGACTTCGGTACGTGAACAACATCTCGTTATACTCCGGAGCTATAACACGCAAGACCAAACCGATAAATCTTCCTTCCTGGCGACAAAAGGCGAGCGCGCATATATTTGCCGACGTTTTCTTGCCGCCGCCACCGCCGCCGTTGGATGAGAAAAATACGTGACATAGTTTCGCGCGAGCGATTTCTCTTGTTTCTTATATCTCAACATTGCGTAATACCAAGGGACAATAAAAAACAAATCGATAAATATTTCCGTTCCGTGCTATCCTTTGTTTCTGTTGCGTGAATCCTCTCTTTGAATCCTCTCACTCGCTCATTCTGACCTCCTTCCTCTCTTTTTTTTTTGCGTTTTACAGACAAAACGAGATATTACCTTTTTCGAGAGGAACAATGAGAAATAGTGAGTACGCGCACTAACCGGATGGCTTCTCGCGCTTCAAAACAGGAGGGAAAGTAATAACAAGACGAGAAAGAGAGCGAGAGCGAAATAGAACAGAGGATCCCTACTTATAGGGGTTTATCAAAAAAGCCCTCGCGCTCCGCCCAGTGAAGCCTCAAAGTCGCGAAACGCGCGCATGTGCGTTATGTGCTCAGACAGAAAAACTTAAGCGATCCAAGACGCAAGCGGTAAGGAAATTGACCAATGGAAATTGATTATTTTTCTTACGGCCCAAAAGTATCCGACTGTGATCGCTCCATTCGTGCGCTTACTGCTTACGTCTGATTGTTTAAGTTTTTCTGCCCGTCCGGATCCTTACGTACTCGTAAGATGTTCGCAGTCGAGCCGACATGCTCATCGATAAGCGCATCGCGATAGTGGAGATGGTCGTAGCACGTTGCAGCTTACACGCGCAGCATTCGGCTTCGGAGACACGCCAGAGCAAATGCGTGCTAATGTTGCACTTTCGTTGCATAACG